ATATGCTAATGAAAACTTAAAAAATAAATTACCCTGGTGATGGGCTGAACATGTTTTAGGTTGAGCTTTTATCACTCTAGTACCCGAGTGTCTCTGGCCAGCAAAGCATTCCGCAGAGCCATCCTAGAGTGTGAGCTAGAAATACATTCTGAAGTATTTGTGTGACACTGGAGATGAAAGCTAGAGCATCCCACACACTCAGCACACACTCCTGTCAGTAACTACACCTCAGGGCCAGTACTCAGCACACACTCCTGTCAGTAACTACACCTCAGGCCCAGAAATAAACTTTTGAGTTAGGTCATTGAGGTTTTAGGGAGACTGTTATTGTTGTTTACCACTACACCCCTAAACTTACTCTAACCAAAACAGTAGTACAGATGTTTAACCCTTATGGAGAAAACCGTTATGAGACAGGGAATGAAATCACCACACCACAAAACAAAAGAAGTTACATTAGACTATAGATACATTAGAAATTTTTAAACTACATTTATTTTTATTTTATTTTTGTTGCTATTGTTTGAAGACAGGGTCTACTATATAGCTCTGGCTGTTCTAGGACCCACTATGTAGACCAGACTGGCCTCAAATTCACAGAGATCCATCTGCCTCTGCCATCTCAATACTAGGATTAAAGGTGTTTGCCACCACGCCTGGTGATTATTTTTTATTTTAAATTATTTATTTATTTAAAAATTATGTTGTGAGTATGTGTATGTGTGTACAATTGCTCACAGAGGCCAGAGGAGTTGGATCTCTTGGAGTTGGAGCTATAGGGATTTGTGAGATACCTGATGTGGGTGCCAGGAATTGAACTCTGATTCTATGGTAGAGCAGTACATGCTCTTAACCACTAAGCCACCTCTACAGCCCTACTATTTTTATTTTTTTAATTAAGTGTATGCATGTATGTCTATGTGTGGGTATGAGCACATGAGTGCATTTGCCCACAGAGTCCAGAGTGGTTGGATCCCTCTAGAACTAGAGCTTTAGGTGATTGTCTTATATGAGAGCTGAAAATCAAATTCAGGTCATCTGCAAGAGCACTGTTTTAGTCATTATTCTGTTGCTGTGAAGAGACACAATGGCCACAGCAACTGTTATAAGAGAAAGAATTTATTAGGGGACTTACTTATAGTTTCAGAGGTAAAGTCCATTATCATTATGGTGGGGAACATGGCAGCATGCAGGCAGATGCTTGAGAAGTAGCTGAGAGCTACATCATGATCCATGGGTAGAGAGAGAGAGAGACTCCGAGCTTGGAATGGGCTTCTGAAACCTCAAAGCCCACCCCCAGAGACACACTTGCTCAAACAAGGCCACATCTCTTAATCCTTCTGATCCTTTCAAATAGGGCCACTCTCTGGTGATTAAGCATTCAAATATATGAGCCTATGGGGGGCATTCTTATCCAAACCACCACAAGCAGTAAGCACTCTTAACTGCTGAGCCAATTCCCCAGCCCACAAATTTTTAATTTTTAAACAATGGAAGAAGCTATAAAGAAATTATATTTCCTTCCATGAGGCTCAAGGATCAATTTGGAAGAGGGGACAGAAAGATTATAAGAGTCAGATGTTGGGGAAGACCTTAGTGAAACACTCTTCTGGATACGACAAGACCACTTATGAATTCCAATCACAAGATCAAGCCAGTCAACAATCCAGCCGGGAGGAGGGAGGAGCTTGTGAGCCCCACCCTTAGCTGAGTATCCATTAACAGCTGATGGCTTATGGGGGAGGGACAGTCAGTGTTCATTCAGGGATGTGGCCCCTGATAAACTGACCATCATTCAGTGGATGGTGCCACACCCATGAGTGTATAAGCACACAAATACCACTCTATAGGTTATTTTTTAAAAAGAGAGAGTTCTTGAAGTTGGGAGGGAGTTGGAGTTCAGGGGTGTGATGCAGAAGTCCTGTGTATATGTCAATAAAGCACTGTTGGCCAATAGGGAAGCAAGATAGGTGGGACTAGGAGTTGAGGAGGACTCTGGGTAGGAAAAACACAGAGAGTCACGATGTAGCCCACCAGAGAAGTAAGATGTCCGGAACTTTTCTCTGGTAAGAGAAATACTTAAATTAACAATTATGAGATAAATACTTAAGTCAGAGCTAGCCAATAAGAAACAAGCAAGGCCAACAGCTTCATAATTAATACAGCGTCTTGTGTATTATATGGGGACTACAACGCAGCAGAGCCCAGGCGACTGATGGGGAAAACCAAAGTGGCTGACAAGGAAAAGGCTTCTCTCTACAGGGGTGGACCTTGGAGGAGTTAGGGGAGGATGAGGGGTGGTATGTAGGTATGACTTTCTCAAATAATTAGTAGAAAAATATTTTAAAATTATATATTGGGGCCGGGCGTTGGTGGCGCACGCCTTTAATCCCAGCACTAGGGAGTTCGAGGGCAGCCTGGTCTACGAGTTTCAGGACAGCCTCCAAAACAATACAGAGAAACCCTGTTTCAAAAAACAACAACAACAAAAATTATATATTGGGGGAAAGGCTGAGTGAGAATGGCTTCCATAAACTCATATATTTGAATTCTTAGTCCCTAGTTGATGGAACTGTTTTGGAAAAGGATTTGGAGGTGTGGCCTTTTTGGAGGAGGTGTGTCACTAGGGGTGAACTTTGAGGGCTTTGTGGGCTCTCTCTCTCTCTCTCTCTGTCTGTCTCTCTCTCCATGATCATCAGAATGGAGAATATAGCAACATGGCAGTAGGGAGGCAAGCAGGCATGAGGCTGGAGCAGTAGCTGAGAGCTCACATCTGATCTACAGGTTGGAGGCAATCCTAAAATTCACATGGAAGCACCCAAAAAAAACCCCAAAGAGCAAAAGTTCTTCCATAATCCTCCCCAAAACCCTAAGCCAAAAGAGCAGTGCTAGAGACATTGCAGAGTCTGACCTCAAGTTATACTACAGAGCCATAGTGACAAAAACAGCATAGTACTGGCACAAAAGAAAACAATCTGCACTGTGTGTGTGCATGTGTCTGTGTGTTGTGAGAAAGATAAGAGGTACACACACAGTCGATATAACAAATTTATATTTTATGATGCTGAGGGCCATCACACAGAGTTTACATTCTAAATTCTTAACTATGGTTCTAAGCCCATCTCCCCAAGGCTGCTCACCTGTGTAGTATATCTTAGCTGAAGGTCGGGTCCATTCTCTCAAGGTAGACTCTGGTTCAAGGGTCAGGATCCAGGGGAAGACTCTTCAGACACAGAGAAGATCAAGGTAGAGTCTTTCCAGCATCCCCAGTAGTCCTGAAGATATGCAGAGCCTTGTATTGCCCTTGGTCTCTGCTTATATACTATCAAGTCCAGGCAATGTAAAGTTCTAGTCGTGTGTCTGGTTATCTTGAGTAAGTGATGTCACTGGGTTCTGGTTATCAGGTACAACCTTGGGTGTAGTCAGGTTCCTAACAAAGCTATTTTACATGTCTAAAATGCATTTTTACTATGCTCCTCACAGTATGTGTATATAGGTATAGTATGTATAGTGTATATATGTATAGTTGTAACACGAAAAATGGAGAACATGGCTGAAGATCAGAAAAGCAAAGCAGCCAGTAGCTCTTAGTTCTACCTCAGGCTGAAAGGGCTGTCCTGTCCTCAGTGTGGCTGGAGAATAAATCTCTAAGGATGACTTTGCTTCTTCTTTTATACCTCTCAAATCCTGGGATTAAAGATGTGTGATCCCAAGTGCTGAGATCACCTTTGTGTGAGCTGTTTCTCCTTGGGACGGGATCAATTATGTGTAGCTCAGTGTGGCCTTGAACTAACAGATCTATCTGCCTATCTTCTGAGTCCTGGGATTAAAGGAGTGCACCACTACCACCTAACTTCTACAGCTAACTAATGTGGCTGGCTTTGCATTCTGATACTTTGGGCAATCTTTATTAAATCATAAATAATATATCATCACATATAGTGTGTGTGTATATGCATGTATAGTGTATGTGGTATATGTATGTACAGTGTATGTGAGATATGTGTGTGGTGTGTATTTGTATATATGTATGGTGTGTGTGTATATAGTATGTATATATTGTGTGTGAGTGCTCCATTTGAGCACATGTAGAGGACAAAGGACATTGGATGTCATCATTCCCATTTCACTTTTAAAATAGTTTTATTTTATTACAGTTGTTGACATGTGTATGTGTAGGTCAGAGGACAACTTGAGGGAATTGGTTCTCTCCTTTCACTGTGTGGATCTCAGAGATCAAACTCAGCTCACCAGGCCTAGTGGCGAATTATCTTTACCTAATGAGCCACCTCAACAGCCCTCCACCTTATTTTTGATACAGGGTCTCTCACTGACCCTGAAGCCCATTGCTTCAGCTACACTGGTTGACCAGCAAGCTGCTGGGATCCACCTTTCTGTCAACTAGTGCTGAGGCTGCAAGCATCTGTGGTCACATTCACCTTTTGTGTGGGCGCTACAGACTTGAACTCAGGGATTCTTGCTTTCACAGCAAGTGCTTTTACCCACTGAGCTATAGCCCCACCCTCCAGGTGCTATAAAATTTTAATTGTTCAACATTATTTTATTTTATTTTGCATGTATGAGTGTATTGCCTGCATGCATGTATTTGTGCCACACACATGCGAAATGCCTATCGAGGTCATAAGTGGATATTGTATGCCCTAGAACTGGAGTTATAGATGATTGTGAACCACTGTGCAGGTGCTGGGAATCAAACCTGGGTCCTTCTCTTCAAGAACAGCAAGTTCTCTCACTTGCTGAGCCGCCTCTCTAGCTCAATGGTTCTCAACCTTCCTAATGCTATGGACAACAGTTCCTCATGTTCTGGTGACCCCCAACCCTAAAGTTAATTTGTCATTACTTTATAACTGTAATTTTACTGCTGTTAAGAATCATAATAAAAATCTGATATGCAACCCTGTGGGGTTCTTGACCCGCAGGTTGAGAACCACTGCTCTAGTCCCTAAATTAGTATTTACATTTTTTTCTTATTTTTGCAGGTATGGGTATTTTGCCTGCCTTCTTGTTTGTGTACTACATGAGTGCCATACCCTTGGAGATCAGAAAAGGACATCAGATCCAATAGGACTGAAGTCATAAATGGTTGCAAGTCACCATGTGGGTGCTAGGGATTGCACCTAGGTCTTCTGGAGGAGCCCAGTGTTCTTGGCTGCTGAGCTATCACTGCAGCCCCTAAACTAATTCAGCACACAAAGTAATGACTTTCATTATGGCATTTTCATATGCTTGTGTTATTATACCTTCTTCTAATTCATCCCTTCTTCCACTGAGCTCCTCCATCCTCCCTGTACCCCTCTTAACGGTCACCTTCCTCTCTCTAAATAGTCCCCGTTTCTGTTCTCATGCCACTTGTATTCTATTATTCTCTTTTTTCCTTCCTTCCACTTCCCTTAAGATCTCTTCTCAAGATCCCCTTTCCAGTTTTATCTCTCTCTCCCTGTCTGTCTCCCCCGCCACACACGCACAAATCAGGCTCTACAGATGAGTGAAAACATGCAGTATTCATCTTCCTCATTCTGGCTTTTCTTAACATAACAATTTCCAGTTCCATCCATCTCCCACAAATATCGTTTTTCTTCATGCCAAATAAAACTGCATTGTGTGCAATGAACCACATTTTCTTTGTCCATTCTTCTGCTGATGGATATCTGGGCTGGTTTCCTTTCTTAGTTATTGTGAATGATGCAGCAATAAACACAAGTGTACAAATACCTCTTTGGTAGGCTTAGAATCCTACACACACACACACACACACACACACACACACACACACACACACAGGCAGTGGAGCAGGAACATGAGGTAGATTTAGTCTCTTAGGAGCAGCCACACTTGCTTCCACAGTTGTTGTACCCATAGTATGTGAGATTTTGATTTCCTGCGTCCCTGATGTCCATTGTTTCCTTATACTAGCTATTCTAAAGAGGTAAGATAGAGGTCTCCTTAGTGAAAAAGACTGTTGAACACTTTTTTCAAATGTTTTTATGGCCATTTGTATTTCTTCTTTTGTGAATTGTCTGTTTAGTTCATTCGGCCATTTACTGATTAGATGGTTTGGTTAGGGGATAACTTTCATAGTTCTTCAGATATTCTAGATAAGAATCCCCTGACTGCTATGTAGGTGCTCCCTATTCTGTAGATTGTCTCTTGGTTCTACTGGTTATTTCCTTTACTGTCCAGAAGCTTGTTAGTTTCACATAATCCCATTTGTTAATGCTTGGCATTATTTACTGTGCTATTGGAGTCCCTTCCTTCCCTGCTTATGCCTGTATCTTGAAGTGTTCTCCCTATGCTTTCCTCTAAAGTTTCAGGTGTTGCATTAAGGAGTGTGTGTGTGTGTGTGTGTGTGTGTGTGTGTGTGTGTGTGTGTGTGTGTGAGAGAGACAGAGAGAGAGAGAGAGAGAGAGAGAGAGAGAGAGAGAGAGAGAGAGAGAGAGCATATCTTCATGCTCAGTGCCTAATCTACAGCAGGCACTTTTATGTGTTATTTTTGCTTATTGAATGCTTACAAATACCTAACAAGACAAATCTCAGTACACTCTAATCTTCCCTTTCCCTTCGTGTCTCCAATACTACTATGGAGACTGCTGTAGATATATTAAACATCTATTTCTCAGATGATGAGAGGTCACAACTGTAGAATTATTGTCTACACTGTCTGCAGTGGCAAGCCAAACACTGTGCCTAGAGACCCCATTCTTCCTTCCCCACAACATTCCGCTCCAGGGAGAGAGTGGACATTTGACTATGGTGATGCCAAATTTGCCCAGCACCCTCTACTGCACCTTCCTGAACTGCCATGGATAGCTCTACAGCGCTCTCTTGATCTGACCTCCGACCTTTGAGAGGTCATTCCAATGAGAAGCAGTTGGAAGGTATGGATGCTTGGCCCTAAGATAAAACTGTGATAAAAATCTTCCAGGTTTGGAGAGAAAAAAAAAAAAAAGAAGTGACTGTGTAATCACTGCAGCTTGTTTAAATAAGAGTGTGGAATGTGCGCACAAATCTTTAAACTCAGGCCAGTTAAATTCTAAAGAGTTCAAAAACTAAGGGTAAACACTTAAATGGTTTTAAGATTAGCCAGATAAGGCTGTTCTGAGGTCCCAGGCATTCTGGAACAAAGTTGGGGGAGGGGGTTGAGTCTGCTAGAGTTTCAGGAGGTCACTCAGCCTGTACTTTTCTGGGGGCACTTTCTTTCTTTCTTTCTTTTTTTTTTTTTTGTATTGTTTTGTTTTGTTTTTTGTTTTTCGAGACAGGGTTTCTCTGTGGCTTTGGAGACTGTCCTGGAACTAGCTCTTATAGACCAGGCTGTCCTCGAACTCACAAAGATCTGCCTGCCTCTGCCTCCCGAGTGCTGGGATTAAAGGCATGTGCCACCAACGCCTGGCCTGGGGTCCCTTTCAATACCAAATATCTAGCACTAGTAAAATTATTAGCTTGGAATTTTGTTTCTGAAAGTGTGATCACAATTTTTGTTCTTTTTGTTTGTGTTTTGGGTTCAGGCTGGGGCATGGAAGCCAGAGTCTGGCTCATGCTTAACAACAATTTTCATTGACTGAGATGACCTACTCCAACATTTATTTTATTTTATTTTTTTCTGGAGTCAGGGTTTCTCTGTGTAACCAGTCCTGGCTGTTCTGGAACACGATTTCTAGACCAAGCTGGCTTCTAATTCACAGAGATCCACCTGCATCTGCTTTGTGAATGCTGGAATTAAAGGCCTGCACTGTCAAGCCCAGCCAACTCCAACATACTTTTTTTTTTAATTTTTATTTTTAAATTTAAATTCAAATTAGAAACAAGGTTGCTTCACATATCAATTCCAGGTCCCTTTCCCTTTCCCTCCCCTCCTCCCATGGCTTCCCACCAACCCCTCCAATATCCCCTCATTTCCCCAGGGAGGGTGAGGCCATCCACGGGGGTGTCCATAGTCTGTCATTTCATCCAGGGCAGGGCCTAGACCCTCCCCTGGGAGTCCAGGGTGAGAGTACATCTCTCATTGTTAGATGGGCACCCAAAGTCCATTTGTATACCCGGGATAAATACTGATCTACTACCCAAGGCCCAATAGATTACCTAGGCCTCCTCACTGACACCCACGTTCAGGGGATCTTAATCAGTCCCATGCTGGAATCCCAGCCATCAGTCTGGGACTCAAGAGCTAACCCTTGTCAGGTCAGCTGTTTCTGGGGGTTAAACCAGCCCAGTCTTAACCCCTTTGCTCATCAGTCCTCCCTCTCTGTCACTGAATTCCTTGAGTTAAGGTCAGTGTTTAGCTGTGGGAGTCTGCCTCTGCTTCTATCAGCCATTGAATGAAGGTTCTGTTTCCCAGACTCTCTGGCCATGGGATTGTAGGCTGGAACTCCCCAGATCTATATCTAAAATCCATATATGAGAGAGTACATGCCATGTTTCTCTTTTTGTGACTGGGTTACCTCACTCAGGATGGTTTCTTCTAGTGCCATCCATTTGCCTGCAAATTTCAAGATTCCATTTTTTTTTCTGCTGAATAGTACTCCATTGTGTAAATGTACCACATTTTCTCTATCTACTCTTCCATTGAGGGGCATCTAGGTTACTTCCAAGTTCTGGCTATTACAAATAATGCTGCTATGAACATAGTGGAACAGATGTCCTTGTTGTATGAATGTGAACCTTTTGGATATATGCCTAAGATTGGAGTTGTTGGGTCTTGTGGTAGGGTTATTCCCACTTTTCTGAGGAATCTCCATACTGATTTCCAAAGTGGCTGTACGAGATGGCACTCCCACCAGCAGTGGAAGAGTGTTCCCCTTTCACCACAATCTCTCCAGCATAAATTGTTGTTGGTATTTTTTATTTTAGCCATTTTGACAGGGGTAGGATGGTATCTCAGAGTGGTTTTGATTTGCATTTCCCGGATGGCTAAAGATGTTGAGTATTTTCTCAAGTGCCTCTGAGCCATTTTAGACTCCTCTATTGAGAATTCTCTATTTAGTTCTGTAGCCCACTTTTTAATTGGGTCCTTTGGTATTTTGGAGACTTGATTCTTGAGTTCTTTGTAAATTTTGGATATCAGTCCTCTGTCAGATGTGGGATTAGTGAATATTTTTTCCCATTCTGTGGGCTGCCTTTTTGTCTTGCCGACTATGTCCTTTGCCTTACAGAAGCTTCTCAGTTTCAGGAGTTCCCATTTATTAATTGTTGACCTCACTGTCTATGCTGCAGGTGTTGTGTTCAGGAAGCTGTCTCCTGTACCAATTAGTTCAAGGGTACCACCCACTTTCTCTTCTAAGAAGATCAGTGTGGCTGGATTTCTGTTGAGGTCTTTGATCCATTTGGACTCAAGTTTTGTACATGGCGATAGACATGGATCTATCCGCATTCTTCTACATGCCAGCATCCAGTTATACCACCACCATTTGTTAAAGATGCTTTCTTTTTCCATTGTATATTTTTAGCTTCTTTGTCAAAGATCAGATGTCTATACATGTATGGGTTAATATCAGGGTGTTCGATTCGATTCCATTGGTCTACCTGTCTATTTTTGTGCCAATACCAAACTGTTTTCAGGACTACAGTTCTATAATAGATCTTGAGGTCAGGGATCATGATGCCTCCAGATGTTGCTTTGTTGAGTAAGGTTGTTTTGGCTATCCTGGGTCTTTTGTTTTTCCATACAAAATTGATTATTGTTCTTTCAAGGTCTGTGAAGAACTGTGCTGGTATTTTAATGGGGATTGCATTGAATCTGTATATTGCTTTTGGCAGGATTGCCATTATTACTACTTTGATCCTACCTATCCAAGAACATGGGAGATCTTTCCATTTTCTGAGGGCTTCTTTAATTTCTTTCTTTAAAGACTCAAAGTTCTTGCAATGCAGGTCTTTCACTTGTTTGGTTAGCATTACCCCAAGGTATTTTATGTTGTTTGTGGCAATTGTAAAGGGTGATGTTTCTCTGATTTCTTTCTCAGCCCTTTTATCATCTGTATACAATAGGGCTACTGATTTTCTTGAGTTGATCTTGTAGCCTGCCACTTTGCTGAAGGTGTTAATCAGCTGTAAGAGTTCCCTGGAAGAGTTCTTTGGGTCATTTATGTAAACTATCATATCATCTGCAAATAGTGAAAGTTTGACCTCTTCCTTTCCAATTTGTATCCCCTTGATCTCCTTTTGTTGTCATATGGCTCTAGCTAGGACTTCAAGTACAATATTGAAAAGGTATGGAGTGCACAGCCTCGTCTTGTTCCTGATTTTAGCGGAATCACGTTGAATTTCTGTCCATTTATTTTGATGCTGGCTGTTGGTTTGCTGTATATAGTTTTATCATGTTTATGTATGTTCCTATTATCCCAGATTTCTCCAAGACCTTTATCATGAAGGGGTGTTGGATTTTGTCAAAGGCTTTTTCTGCATCTAGTGACATGATCATGTGATTTCTGTTTATCAGCTTGTTTATATGGTGGATTACATTGATGGATTTTCATATGTTGAACCATCCCTGCATCCCTGGGATGAAACCTACTTGATCGTGGTGAATGATTGTTTTGATATGTTCTTGGATCTGATTTGCCAGTATTTTATTGAGTATTTTTGCATCAATGTTTATGAGGGATATTAGTCTGAA